GAAAACATTGGTGAATGCCACAAATTCTCCTAAATCACTCGTACGCACAATTTAAGAACAAATATGTGCGTACGAACGGTTCTTGCATGAGGCCCATTGTTTGTTTGTTTTTTTGTTTTGTTTTGTTTTGTTTCGTTCAAAACAAGCTTATTCTAATGGTTTAAGTTAAAATTTAAATGTTGCAAAAAGCAGCTCTTGGACAATTTCATTTTGTGAAAGTAGCTCTTAATGGAAAAAAGTTTGGAGACCCGAGGGACCAAAGAGACATGTATTGTGGCCTCAGAGCTGTAGGTTGTATACTCCTGCATTACGATGAGTTGCTCTATAAAAGACACCAACCAGAACTTCTCATCAAACCTGGACCCACTATCTAAAAATCAACATAAAAATAATATAATTAAAGGGTTTTAAGAACTGTTTCTAGAGGCTAAAGCACATGTATGACCAACAACTTGAATTTAGATTTTCCAGCTCCGAGTCGTTTTCCCAGGGCCAGTCTTCCTCCTACATCAGGCTGAAAAGATCGTGATCCAGAACAGTCCTGCAGAGACAAAACATACTGGGAGGTCAGTCGACAGACAGCCAGCTCTGTAACGATGGGGACACTCAGTCCTCCATCAAACAGAAAAAAGACGTCCCTCAAAACCAAATAATGAGCTGCATTTGTTTTGTTTTTTATTTCTCTACATTACACAGACTTCAGACTTCTTTACAAAATAGTTTCATCACATTTCACACAAAGAACAATCAGTCTTTCTGCTCCTTGTGATAATCTGAATATCACGTTTAACCGTGTTGAAACCAACATGTCAGACAGGACGGAGCACTCTGCAGGCTGACCGCTCAACATTTATTGATTGCACGTATTCAGAAGATTTCCTGGCATGTGAGCAGACACACAGTTGATGCTGCAGAACTAATGAGATCCACCATCAACGCAGGGGCAGACTGTTACATCCTGTATGTGATTCATTTTACTACCTTTTCCAATTATTTCTTCCCCCCAGAGCTCTTCTTCATAATGACCTGAGAGACGTATGTTTTCAGCTGCTTTGACATTTGGCCCTTTTTTTTCTTCTTCCTATTGGCTGCATTTATTTAGTCCAGAAAACTCAACAAATTCAACAAATTCTCTAAGCACAGACCTTTCTATGCCAACATTTACTCCATAAATTATTTGCAGGCATGAAAGCTACTGAAGGGAAGGTGTCCATGTTAGAACCGTCTGCGCCACATCTCTTCCACAAACAAGYCAGAGACACAGGTCTGACAATTATGACTTCATTATAAACAAACACCACCATCACAGTGGAGTTACAGCTCATTCTGTTATCTTACTTCATTTTACCTGTGGAAGTCGTGCTGGAAATGCAGAAAAAAACTGAGCTCCCACATTATTTTTGATTTTAAACTCCTCATTGTTTCAAATTCTCATTTTAATGGTTTCTATCATCTTCACATTTATTCCTCAACACAGGGCAGATTTATGATTCAGTCCAAGATGGATCTTCATCAAGTCAAAGAGTTTAACCCTTTAAGGTCCAAGCCCGCTCCCAGAGTTGTAAAGTAACTAAGTACAAATACTTTGTTACTGTATTTAAGCAGAAATTTTGGTTATCTGTACTTTACTTGAGTAATTATTTTTCAGCGTACCGTTTACTTTTACTCATTACATTTTTACACAATTATCTGTACTTTCTACTCACTACATTTTTTAAAAGGGTAAGAAGTAGAAAGTTGATACTCCTATTTTATTCTGAGTTATTACTTGAAAAAATACTATCCTGATAAATTGTGTCTCTTGGATAGAGTGAATTTAATTGTGGTTGAGTGAAAAGTATAAATATATACCATTCTGACACCATATTAGCTTGTACACAACCCATCACAGCTGCACGCCGTCAGAAAAAATAGTTTTTGGAGAACTCACCTCCCAATAAATGTCTTTCTGGGAAATCTAACTGCTCACTTTTACTCAGTACTTTTACTTTTAACAATTAAGTAGATTTTGTGTCAGACTTTTGACACTTAAGTACAAAAAATATCAGATACTTTAAGACATTTACTCAAGTAATATTTTTAGAGAAGACTTTAACTTTTACCAAAGTATTTTTACGATAAGATACTTGTAGTTTTACTCAAGTATCACTTGAGGTACTTTATACAACACCGCAAGCTCCAGACATGACACATTTAAGGGCTAATGCGACAAAAATGGCAGCATGCTGAGTGCTCATTTCAACTAGGCTGGACAGCACAGACTACAAACTCTATAAAATAGTGTTTTTGTTTTTTATTTACTTCCAAATAAAACCAGATTAATGATAAATCATGACACCCACTTTTCTGATTAACTGAAATGCACCACATTTCCAAAGCAACCAATAAAAAAAAGTTTGTACGCTTGTGGAGAACATGTTTTGGAGATGGGAGAATGGAGCGTACTCAACATTTTGGTTGTGCTGAAAATAATGATACAAAACAAGGCAAGGTAAATAGTTGAAAATGTAAGGTGAAAATATAAGGGTAAATTCAAAATTAGCCAAAATAACCATTTAGACCCTCGACCTTAGAKGGCTAGGAACCAAACAGTTTGACAAGACAATGCCTCATATTGAACAGATTTGTTTAGTGTTAGTGGAACCAAGACCCTCATTTAGCAGCTCATTTTTTAACAAGTTACCTGTAGTAAACAGGTACATCTCAATAAATCAGAATAAAATCAGAACATAATATAGAGCAGGGACAGTCAATCCTGGTCCTTGAGGTCTGCAGCCCTGCATGTTTTACTTTTTTCCCTTCTCTAACACACCTGATTCAGTCAGTGAATTACCGCTTCCAAGTTCTGCAGAAGCCTGCAAACCATCCATTCATTCAAATCAGGTGTGTTGGAGCAGAGAAACAAGTAAAACATACCTGGATTACTGAGATGCATCAGGACATTGGGAGAAAATGGAGGACCACAGGCACAGTTCAAGTCAAGGATCGAAGTGGCAGACCAAGAAAAATCTGGAATAAACAGAAGCAAAGGATGTTGACAACAGTCAGAGCCAACCCAAAGACCAGCACCAAAGACCTACAACATCATCTTGTTGCTGATGGAGTCACTGTGCATCATTCATCTATTCAGCACACTTTGCACAAGGAGATGCTGTATGGGAGAGTGATGCAGAGGAAGCCTTTTCTCTGCCCACATCACAAACAGAGCCGCTTGAGGTATGCTAAAGCACATTTGGA